CAGTCATCCATTTCATCCATTCACTCGGTCAATCAGTCATTCAGTTCATCAATCAATCAATCACAACGTAAAGGAAACACGGCGCGCACGGAACATTGGAGGCGCTTGTCAATCCCTTCCACCCCCCTGTCATGGTTGCTTGAGATAAGGTGTCGCCGACACACGCGATGGGTCGACTCAACTCTAAAAGCCCATCCATATTCACGTCCCTGAACTCTGTCTTCTGCCTCCCTCTATTCCCGGACAGTTCTCGAATTCCCCAACCTGAAAGACCCCGGTCGTTGCTCAACCACCGGCGACAACCCCTTCTGAGCTCGGGTTGCTGCGTAGGTACTAGACTAGGCGCCTGTGAACTGCGCGACTTGGCCTTGACCCTAGTACGCTCTCTCATTGCGTGAGCGCGTGCGTACGCCAAGCGATGACTGGGTTGGCGGCGAAGATGATGACACGACCTGCCCTTCCCATAGATAATTAGGGAACGGCCCCGTTCCCCTTTGGGCTGCTGTCCCCGCAAAATCGTATCGCTTTCTCGAAAACCAGGTTCGTTCCGTCGCTTCCAGCAGAAGCAGAAGCAGAAGCAGAACATTCTGCCACAGACGCCAAGCGAAATGCCCCATCCAACCTCGGCGCACCGTCCTCCTCGCACCGTCCCCTCGCACAGTGCCCGGACCCTTGTACGACCCTGAACTGGCAAGGTCAGGATCCGGATCAGGACGGCAACTGAACCTGTCCAACTGGCAACTAGCAACTGGCATACAGTCCGAGACGGCCAGCATGTGCTGATTGATACATGATGATGACATGGCCGCCCTCCGTGACGCCAATCAACAAGAACACTGCGGTAAGCCCAGAAAAAAATTGAGGCGCGCCCAATGCCATGGGCAATCTCGCAACACTTCCCAAACTTCCCGTCCTTACAGACACGCCCACCACACGTTGCCAACGCACACACCCTTTTTTTTGGCGGTGGAAAAGCCTGTGCCCATCATCTCGACGCGGTCCAAAAAAAAAAAAAGACGCCCAGTAAATACGGCGCCAAGTAAGTCACCGCACATCACCCCCCCCCCCCTGGATTACCCGACGCCAGAGGGGAAGAAAACTACACGGAGCGCGCATGTTGGAAAGTAGTAATACTAAGTGATCGCGATCCGATCTATCTTTGGTTCACGACGGAGGGCTATCCTGGACGCTTCCGTCAATGCCCACCGACGCCTTGACACGTTACGGTTACTGGACAACCCCAAAACGACCATGAGTCAAAGGCGCGAAGCGAACTGCCGAGGCCGTCAGCCGTGGTTCCTGGTGATACCCTTGGAGAACAGAACGGAACAGTGCAGACAGTCCTCGAAAGGGAGGCATATCTTGACTCGCCCGTGTAATGAATGCCCGGGTGGCAAGGGTGCGAGAGATCGCCTGGAAAAAATGGCTCCACGTCGTTTCTGCGCCGCGCTGAGCAAAAAAGCTGCCTGCAACGCAACCTACGCCCAGCCCAATTGCTTCGCACGAAAAAGTGTCCCATCCCGTATCCGGCCATCCATTTGGAATCCTGAACGAAGAGACATGCAAGTGCTTACGCACAGTAGCAGACGCACCGAATACTGTACACAATCCTGTCAGACTGCAGAGGCACCAGCATTTACACATTGCTGTGCCCGGTTGCGAAACTCAAATCATCAATCAACCAAGGGCCTTTCTTTACCCGAACTAGCATAATCGCCATAATCACGCAGTGTCCCTCGCTTCAGACATTTCTCATTTCTCATTTCTCATTCTCTCTCTGTCCTCTTTGTTTGTCTTACTGCTTCCCCTCCCTTCCCTTCTCACATCTTACGCAAGCAAACAGTCAACAAAAAGCCCTTATTTAAACCAAAGACCCAAACCCAAGACTAACCATGTGTCATGACTCGACGCCGCAATTAAGCAGCATCAGATGTCGAGTTTCCAGTTCCGCCCACAAGTCGCGACTTCAGCGGGTCCCGTATCGGCCCATCGCCTCTTGGGGGGACCTCCCCCCCTCGCCCACCGCCTGGAGAAATTTGTAACTTGTTTCTAGTACAAAGGTCCATAGTAGCGAATACACCGTCTCTTGTTCCTCTCTTCGTCTCTGTTGGTTAGCTTGCGCTGGTTGGTTGGTTGGTTGACCGCCGTGGCTTCACCGTCGTCTCAGCCCCAGCCCAAGTTCGAATACTTGAGTCCGCCCGAGCCCAAAGCCTTCCCATCCTAAGAGGAACCATTTAACGCCCCCCTGCACATTTTGGTTCAGAGCCAGCCAAAACGGCAACAAACATTTTTCAGCTCGCTCTGTTAGCACTGTGATAAGGTGCGAATACTACGACGTAGTAGGAAGTTCAGCAAATGGCCGCCCGGCTCAGCGCGCCACTCGCCGAATGTTATGTCGTATTCGACCAGTTGCCCGCCACTCTTCCCGTCTTTTGTTGAGACAACCCGCTAATTAGGTCCTGGTACTGTACGAAGTATCTTGTGCCAATCGCTTTCTGCCGAGCTGCATTTGCCCTCGGTTGCCTTGTCTTTCAAGGCTTTTCACAGAGGCGCCCCGAGCGCGTCGAATTAATTCCCTCATAAAAACAATCCCTCTCCAATCCGTAACCCTCGCCGCGTGCCCTGCCAATGTATCGGAAATGCTCCCTGTATGTGTTACTTCTCATAAACAAAAAGTATATCAGCAACGCCGTCCATTGTGCAACCGTAAACCTCTCCGGTCGCTGGAACACGCAGAGTTTTCGCCATGTCTCGTCCTTTTGCAGCATTGTGTCGCCGAAGCTGACACCTCAGAAATCACTAGCAACCCGACGCACCAAGCAGAGGCTTGTGAAACGCCTGTCGGGTCGCACCTAGTTGCAAGTGGTTGGACTCGGTCCTCTTGTGTTGGCTATTATGCACCGCTCATGCGCGTGAAAAGTAGGTCTTGGATCTAGGCATCCCGCGAGCGAAACACAAATGGCTTGCATGCATCCTGTAACCTTGAACCGTCTCTTCTTGTTTTCGCATCTTCCACGAGGACAGTTGTCCTTTCCGCTGTGGTGCCGGGTAAGCTCTCGCATGGATCGTAATCCTGCATGTTGTACGTTGGGTATCGACGTTCACCGAAAGTCCCTTGCTTCGAAGTAGTTGGTACCGCAAGTGAAATCTATTCTAATTTAGGAGGAAGTCTATGGATTGCACGAAACAAATGGTGCATGCCCTCTTCGTTGGTTGTAATAGCTGAAGGATTAAGAGCCAACAACCACAACGTCGATTACTTGCTGCAACTCGAACACATCACCCCAGTTTGCATGGCTTTCCCACTCGCACTGTAGATCATCGTAAGTCATGTCTATTTTCCTCATGTCCCTTGTCTTTCTATTTGATACATTATCCACCTCGCCCTCTGCCGCCTCGCCCACCCCTGCCCCGGCCTCGACCCCTTCCTCGTCCGCCTCCACGGCCGCCTTTCTTGCCTCCTCTAGGACCGCCCTTGTTATCAAACCGCTCAAATATCCTCTCTTCCCCAAAGGCGCCTTCTCCAAACCGCATGAAGTTGACGAGTCCGCGGTCCACGATTGCCACAAGCACATTTCGGTGACCGTGCTTCAGGCGGTGGTACATACGGCCCGGTCCTTTCCATGCCTCATTAGGGGGGTCGTGAGGTGTCGACTCGAGCAGCGCCTCGATCTGTTGAAGCGACGGTAGGCATGAGTCACCTGCATCAACCACGGCAACGCGGAAGTCGGGTGGCGGGGGGCTCTTCTTGGAAAAGGGAACGCCACCAGTCTTCCACACGTGATAGAATATCTGGAACGGCTCTTCTGGAGGATGTACTTCGGTCGGCGTAGGCAGCGGTTTGTGGCGGGGAAGAATTGCAAGCTGTTGATAGATGGGTCGATAGGCACGATAGAGTCCTGGTTGTACAAGGGGTCCGAAAGGTTGCTGCCTTGACCGCGCGTCTTGGCCAAGGAAGGAGAACAGCCACTGCCATACCGTTTTCGTAGGGGGCGTCGCTGGTGTCGCTGGTGTCGATTGGGAGTCTGGAGGGGCACGCAGAACGTGGAAGCCTGCTCGCTTCAGATTCGCGAAGACGTGGTATTTAGGTAGCGAGATCTTGCCCCTCTCTCCGTCGTAGCCGATGAAAAGAGAATAGGCAGCCTCGAGACTCAGTGGCAGTCCGGCATCGTAATCGTCCGGTCCCAAATCGAGTTTGGCCTCACTCGAAGCATCAGCCTTGGGAAATAGTTCCTCGAGTTGTCGATTAGGCCACCACAGATCGACAGTCCCCCGCTCGACCAGATAGACAGCCTCCTCTGGCAGTAGCCAAAGACGTCCCGCGGCAGCTCGATCGAGCTTGGCTGGTAGTGCTCGCCCGATGTCCTTTTGCCAATTTCCTCGCTCATGCTCCATCACAACAACTCTGTCGCGGAGAAATAATTCTTTGTATTCTCCGGCCCACTCGAGATCTTCCCACCAGTCGGGGAAACACCAGCCTCGTGTCCAAACCTCTTCACGGTGTATCCTCGTGTAGCTCAGGACATTGTCCATGACAGTGCGGCTGGCCTCCAGCAGGTTGTCCTGCGCCCGAGTCCCATGTGACTCGAAATCTTTTTCGCCCTTGCGTATCGCCTTGCTAGACACTCCGGCCTTGTCAAACATGGATAAAAACAGCTTGTAGTCGGGCGAGTCTTCGTCGGCATCCTCAGTGGCTTGAACATCTTGTGCGTTTGTCGCGGGGTATGCGCCCACCGCATTGGGGTTCTCGTCGTCGTCGAAGGCCATATTCGAATCGTCGGATGCGAAACCTCATATGTCGAAATTTGGAGCTAGCTATAGGTGAGAAAGCTTAGGAAATCATGCCGTGCTTGACAGTGTTGTGTAGAAACGGGTTGTAGTGATGGTGAAGGTAAAACTGAAGCCAGGCTGAACTTCTGAAGCCTTGCAACCCCACCACGGCCCGACAGCCCCACCACAATATTCATAGTTCAAACCTCGACCTCCTACACCAATCAAAAGGTGACTTGGCCGAGTGGTTAAGGCGCTGTGTTTAGGTTCTCAATCAGAAACCAGACCCGCAGTGGGAAACCGCGCAAGTTCGAACCTTGCAGTCATCATTTCTTTTTGTCATTTTTGCATCTGTTGTTTATAGCTTGCATTGCACGTCATAACATCGTAGTTGTAGTCGTGATTAATCGGCTGATTTGTAATGACGATTCAAGTGTTTACATATTTAAACTATAACACCAAGCACGATGGGGAGAAAACAACGACCCAGGTGCTATTATTGCTGTCTAATTTCTTAATCTTCACTAACCTTGCGTTTGCCGCTCGCCAGGCAAATCGCATGTCTTTAAGTTGGCGAGTTTTGTAATAGCACATTACATCATATGGATAAATCAAGCTATGCTGAGATATATCCTTTCTTTATGCTCTCTCTATAAATAATATAACCTCGCTGTCTGTCTCTTTTGTTTTGTCCGGACCCCTTTGGTTACTGAGAGCTCCGGTGGGGGGTTGAGGCTGATGTGCAAAGCCGGCCCCACCTCGTCCCGATCACCGCCGTCCCTAAGCCGGGCTCCGTATCGTTTCAAGCTCACCCAACGAATGACTATTGCTCAGGGCACAAACAACTTTTGCTATAATTTATGCACAAACAGATGTAGGAGCACGACAGTAAGATGTATTAGTAACCCTTTTCTACTAGACACATAGCAAATATAAACATATTTTCTTTCATCATTTAAGCCTTGATCCTAGACTTGACCCAGTTCTCCAGACCTTTAACGCTGATAATCTCTTGTACACTGGGAGGTAGCTCGCTAACCTTCTGCTCCTAGATGGTGCTATCCTTCTTTGTAATTATAGCCTTGGAGCGGCGAATATCCCACAGAAGCTTCTAGCACGTGCGGCGAGTTAGAGGCTGCTTCGCGTCGTCTTTGAACGACTCACGTAGGCGCTCGACTAAGCGAGCAGTTTAGAAAAAGACCAATACGTCGTTGATGCTGTTGCGACTAAAGATGTTCCCGAGACTTCCTGCAACAACGAGAGGAATGTCTCTTGCCAGAATGGCGGTGGCGGCTTGCTCACGGGAACTTCCTGTAAAGGTGGGCTTTAGCCATCATTGTGTTGAACGGAATATGATGTTCATATAAAAGGAAATCTACTATCATACTCCAAGTTGCAACCGGTCACCAGCAAATCACCTGGCTTGGTGAGTTTGGTGAACTAGAGGTCGTAGTCCTCCATGCACACGTTAGCCATCTTTTCCTTGGGGAGGTTATCCTGATTAAGTAGTATCCAGGTAAGTGAATCACTAATGAACTCATCCCCGATATTAAAACGCAATCATGAGACTAATCGCGAAACTGGGCAAATTACTTGATACCATTCGTGTTGATATTATAATTATCCCTATCCTGGGTTAGTATATACAAAGGAAGTAGTAACGATTTGAGAAATACTTACAAGAAACCAATTTCGCCCTCGAATTTCACAGAAAAGCCTGGGAGAACATTAGTCAAGGCTTCATCTTCGGCAGCAGTTGTAGTTGACTCCTCTTGAGTATTCTCAGCAGTAGCAATAATGCTATCCACCTCATTAATGAGCTTATCAACAACTATATCGCTTCCCCTGGAATTAGTACAGGACACTAAATAAGCCTTGTCGATCATGATGTTCTGGGTCTCAAGGCTCTTGAACGAGCCGGTTCTCTGCAATCTCCTTAACTCGCTCATGGTTGATGCGCTCCTGGTAGGGCTGTTAGACACAGCTGCCGCGGTGGCTTTGGCGCGATACCAGGAAATAAAGCGTCTTGTCAACGGGGAACAGTCCACCTGCAAGGTCAAAGGTCAGCTTGTTGCCTGTTTACATAGAGAGGGGAATTCATTAGTGCGCCTCATTCCGTATACATGTTACTGATGCATGAGTTAAACGATCGTCGATGGGAATACTCGCTATAGTCTGTTCGGACCCGGCGAATTCTACACAGTGGTTCAAGACGCCATCGGAACCGAACAAGGAGCAGAGACTTAGAATCACGTCCTTCCCCGTGACTCCAGGGGGGAGCAGACCCGTAAAGGTACAGATGGGTGTTGTGGCCAAGTGCTTCAGTGCTCCATCCTCGACCTTGTCCTCCCTCACTGGCAAAAAGACGGAGCCAAACCAACCAAAGCAGCGTTACATCAATACTCGGCACCATCAATGACCGTAAATTTAGCGTCATGTCACCCGGAGCTGACCTTTCTCCTCGTAAATCATTGACACACCATCTATTGCCAGTCTAGATTTTGTCTAGAAGCAGTGAACGAAGGACAGTGATGCCATCCATAGTGCTTACTTATTATTACCCACTCCTCTTTCGCGCATATCTTAAACTTGTTTCCGACCCAGCGCTAGCCACGAGGTTGACACACATGTTACCTCGGAGTTGCGGGGAAATTCTCACTCGCTCGATGCGATTGGACGCGCCTTTTATCTTACAAGGTACCGGGATTTCGATGGCTTGCTCCCGAGGAACACCACGGAGGTTCCCCAGCCCCCCCGAGTCAGTCAAGACACCGAGGCATTGAGTCGCTTCTGCGGGAATCGGAAGCTTCGGTGGTCATCTCGACGTCATAGAGTTGCGGCACCAATGGGCAGCGCCCGAGACGTCAATTGATAGTCGGCTGTTAACCCCCGAAGCTGTCTTAGCTCGGTGGTTTAACCGCAGCCGGCGTGGAGGTTTGTCTCTTTCAATCCAAGATCTGCACAAGCCTGATCGCATAGCCGAGACATTATGGGCTTGAACCCTGCCGGGATTGTTTGCGGTTACAGCGACATCAATATGCCCGGGATCGCAGTCATGGTTGATTCACGGCTCTCGCAATGGGATTGACGCCGCAATGACGTTGTTGAGCCTACCCAACTGCCAGGTATGGCTCCATCGGCCAGTCAAGTCTTCATAAAACAAGTGTTTCCTCCGACTTGGCACCTCTTTGGATTTGTGAAGGCCATCCCTCTCTCACACCAATTCTTCCTTTTTGTTGGCCAAAGTTGTGGATAAGCCCTAGTACCTTGATCCCAACCTGCATCAAACAATGGCTCCTCTTCTGTCGTCCTCCGGTCAGGACATGGCCAAATTCGTTGCTCGAACCTTGGCAACCTCGACTCTCAACCCGCCAGTCCTAGTACCGCGACAAGATGCGCCGGTCGCTACAGTGACCGTCGTCGCAGACTCTGACGGCGGCGGAGGCACGAACCTCAGCGGCGGTGCCATTGCTGGGATCGTCATCGGAACCATTGCAGGGACGTTGTTGGTTCTCTGGATCATCCGGTCATGCTTCAACTTGGGCGCGCCGCCTTCGGATCGGGAGAAATGGTACAGCGAGACGCCTCCTCGACGCCGCCATCGCTCTCGCAGTACCCGGCGCACATCCAGCATGTCCGTGCCGCCTCCAGTCGTCATCCGAGATTCAAGGTCACGGAGCCGTCGCCGTCATGCATCGCCGTCATATGTCTATACCGAGAACGACCGAGGACGAGGCGGATATCACTAAGGATACTAAGGAGGGGTTCATCAATTCAACCGCGGGCCTCCGGTTGAAGATGGATTCACGCCGAGTTAAAACGAGTTCAATTCTACAATGTGCTACCGACTGGTTTAGTCGGATACACTTGAACTTGAAAACATGATGCTTCGACACCTTGTCGAAGGCACGACTTATGATTGGAAAGATACTGTGTATTGGTTACGAGTAATTGAATGGAGATTCTTTGAAGATATTCTACGATGCTTAACACGGATTATGAAGAAATGACGGTGGTCAGATTAGGATCACCCTAGAGCATGGGCGATTGGTTTAATTACTAAGTTAGATAATAATTGTGGTAGTTCTTAATTCATTGAGCGCATTAGCATCGCATCTTGTTCGATTTCTGGGAGACATTGTATCATTGCCCAGCGACGAGTGACGGCAAAGCAAGTTGCCTTCCCACCACGCTTAGAGGAGGAATGAGAGGATCTTTTCTGAATGGTCTGTTGAATTCAAGCATTCAAGCTTAAACTGGTCCATCGACTAGCAAAGCCATCGTTGACTTAAGAAGTAAAGAGTTTCCACTAAGTTAGTTGTTGGATGTCTGAGAAAATCAATGACGACATTCATCCTCCCGCGTTGGGTTGATGCGGAGAGCGCCACGACTGACCTTGGCTGTGTACCAGTAGATTAAATGCTGCAAAAATCCCCGGTCAACAAATCGTCTGTCTTCTCATTCTCCTAAAAGTCTTGGCTTTAATTGATAGTCGTCGTCTGTGTGCCAAGTCCGACGCCGCTCCAAGACCTGCAACCCTTCCAACCGTTGTCAGCGCCGCTGACATTCCAACTTGTGCTCCTACGCTGTATTGAGTCCCGTCGCCATGGGACTCGTTCATCAAGAGCCGTTCTCTTCTCCATTCCCCACATCCCATGTCTTGGCACAGTTGCTTAAATTGCGCCAGCTTCAAGATCCAACGTTATAATAGTGACGTTGGTATGGGCCTGAGCCGCAAGCCGCAAGCACAACCAACTGCACAGACGCCAAACCACCAATGGTTGATCTTGAAACTTTGAGCTTTGTCTATTCTTACTGTCGTCCTATAGATCCTACAGACCTTGTCCATAAGTAAGATGACGATTCAGTCCATCAACCACCAGACATACTGCGTTGATTGTGTTGTGCGGATGTCCAAGTTTGTAGCGTAAATCGTCTCCTCATGTAGCTTCTGCTCAACCCCGATCTCCTCTTCTTAAAGCCACCAGCCAAGCAATTCGAACACATTTCCAATGCATATACTGGCCACTTCCTGTGACCATTTGCCAAGGGTCCGTACACCGCTGTGCGCACTTGCCTACTGCCTGTGCCATGCTCTCCCCGGGCCTCCGGAACTCCATGAATCATGCCTGTGGGATACTTCCATCCCGTCTCTGGTCAAACACCTAAATGCATCAAAAGCCTCGTGTTTGGGTATCCCTCTTCCAGCGGGCGAACCTGGACATCTGCTTCTCAAAATTCCGATGTTGCGCCGCCCTCGTCCCGATTCGCGGAGGGTGACCGCGCCCAGACACTGTTCAGTGTGGGAGGCCTCTCTCGAAGCGGTGCG